CAAAACAGTCCCACGACGACACAAAGTCACTCTCGTAAAAGGTGGAGAGCAAGCTCCGGGAGGCAAGCAGACCATTAAGAATTCAGCATTACGTGCCGCTCCGTGCATCAGGAGCTGCAGACCAAGACGGAAAAAAAAAGGGGAGAGCAGAAAAATCCCTGGGTAAAAATTGCCGTCTCGTACAAGTGAGTGTATGTAGTGTGTATAAATATACACCCAAAGAGTCGCGGTGGTAATTTTTTACGCGCGACTCGACGGGACGCAGCTGCATGGCCCGCCATACACGCCATTCCCGCGTGTGACAATATTCCCATTTATGGTTATATATATATACGTGTATATATACGTGTGCTATAGCTTGTACATTATATATATATACGTACGGTCTCCCAACAATCACCTGGAATCTGGAGGAGGGGAAGGAGGAGCATCTAAGAGGATGAGAAAGAAATTACATCCTCGCGTACGGAACGTACAGCGGCAGCAATCCGATTGACAATCCCATCTTGCTGCGCACCAGATATATATTCGACGAGGAGAAGGCCAAAGTTGGCAAACAAGACACCCTCCAGCGGAAAAGAATAGAAATCGGGCAGGCGGGGGGGAGGAGGGCGCTCGTATTCGGAGAAATAGAAAAAGAATCTATACCCATCGTGTACAGTGGAGGTATGTATACAGAGGAGATTATATATGTACGCACATGCACGTACCTATATAGGTACCCAGAAATCGAAGGGATGCATAGGGGGGGGGGAGAAAGATTGCGTATCGGCGCGAAAGTAAGAAAAGAGAAAGGGGCTGTCAGTATGGACGTGGATACACGTAAACGGATGAAGAAAAAAACATAAAGAAAAATACTTACCCCTCCCCCTCCCGCAACAATACACGTGCACGAGGCGTGTAGTATGTATATTTATATGGCCTGGGTTCTCCCTGCGGGGGGGGGTAGTTGGGGCACGTGTCCACAGCCACTGTTGGTGCACCACACACGTAGGTATATATATACACAAGCGAGCGCCTACCCCTTTGGTTTTACCCTTGGGGACGATGTATATACATCAGGAAGAAAAGACTTTGTTACAGCGTGACTGCTTTTCGCGAGATATATATATATATTATCGGCGCTATGTATATATGGTACACCGCGCAGCCTCCAGATAATCAAGTACACAATCGCGATTAGTCTGCCGCCTTTTCCTCGGCTTGGTTGTTTCGTTATAAGGTGGCCTGGCGCCTGATACCGGCTTATATATACCTACGGCACGCGGACGCGTCATCGTCGATGAGCTCCGTTAATTAGAGGTTGGAGCTACTATATGTATATATATGAGCGCGCGATCGGAGATTTCGCGGCTTTATCGGAGAGACGTGACTGGGTTAAACTTGGCTGTGGGGGGATGTGGCCTCTCTGTGATCGAGGATTCGCGTATACCCCTTCGTAGCAATCGCGGGTTTATACATGTGTATATACACGTGGCGTCGTTTGATTATTGAATATATCTCTCGCGAGGTGTAAGGTCGACGGGATATTTCCGCGTACTAGCGATACGGGCCGGCTGATCGATGTGCGCGTAACGAGGAACTTTTGTTTCAATACGAGTGTACGCGGTGGGAGGTGTAATATGCATAGCTACAAATAATAACTCGCGGTAGGTATAGATCAAGAGTTACTTATACACGCGACGATGATGTGCAGGTTTTTCTTCTTCTTAATTCTCGGTATACTGATCCGCGTGTATACGCGAGAGCAGAGATGGGTGTAATTTTCTTTTGCCTATACCTACTCATCTGTAAATGAGTGTATAGCTCCAAGAGAATCTCAGAGTTTATATAATCCTTTGTGTTTGCCCGCGCGAGTGTTGAAGGGAAATAAATTTTTCTTTGTGAAACATCTTGCGCGCGGATGTTGCAAAAAGAGATGTAACATCCGAGCGGATGATAATGGTAAAAGGAGGCCTCGCGTGGAGGGTCGGTGGGTGGGCTGTATAGGAGTTTGCGTATAATTCATGTGACGCGCGCTTCTAAGGGTGGGCTGGTGAATTTTAAAAAGATTTCGCCCCGACGCGAGCACCGGCGCATTTTCTCGTCTATACGCGGTAAGGAAAAAGGGCTATTTGTGAATAAAGAGAGAAAAAAAAAGAAGGAAAATCTCATCACGGAAAGCCAAACAGGGAGTATAGGTACATGTTCAAACAGAGCCGAGATGTAATTAGGAGTAAAAACTTTCAAAGCATAATAGCCAGAGGCGTAAAAAGCTCGGATTCGCCCGTTCTCCTTTTGCGCTTTGGCATCAGCTGCGCGGGAACTTTTTAATTTCCTGCCCACCACCCGATCCGTACAGGTGCATACAGTACTGTAGGCACGTGTGTGTGTATTCCCTTCTCAGCGCCTTTCTATTTCCTCAGAGTGGAAAACCCTGTATCCCGCGCGGCCCTACATCATCCCCCGGTGGACTCATTCGATACCCAACTCGATCCTTCCTTCCTTCCTTCGTTCCTTCCTTGCTTTCTTTTCTCCCCTCTCCCCTGTGTATAAGTATCGACTTAAAAGCACCTAATATACACTCGCAGGGGGAGATGGAGTGGCGCAGTGTACACTGATACACGCGCCCGAGGGAAGAAAAAGGGATTATTTATATATTATATAATATATAAATATGTACTTGGACGCGCAAACTTTATGGTGGCGTTGTAGTATATAAATATGAACTCGGGGAGGCAAATTATATTTGACGGCGATAGGAGAATGCGATTCTTGTGACTGACGCTCCTTACGTATAAATTACATATATTTATATACTACAGTCTAAGGGTGGGTTTGGCGGTAAACATGGAGGTTGTTTTTCCGATCAATTACTTTTTCTTTTTTTTTTCCTTTTTCGCTTGCTGGAAGGGGTGCTTCTTTTAAAAAATCAAGTGGTTTTTTTTTTTTTTTTATTGTATGCCAGACATTTCGAAATTGTATTGTAAGTGACTTGGTTCTCTCGTTGGCTCGGTTGGCAAAACCGCAGCTACAACGGAAGGTACTCCAGGGCAACAGAGGATTCAGTTCCTACGATTCCTCTGTCACGGATAAAAGGAACAATGCTACCACCTTATACTTGACTCGAACAGTCACATAATAGAGATGAATCTTTCCATACTTCATGACTGTTAATCATTTTTTTTTTTCCCTCAAGAGAAACCAACAAAATGTCGAATTAAATAAGAAACTATAGTCTCCAGCTTGGTGATCGAGCGGACTTTCCGCGAATCCACAACAGGAGGGACTCCGACGAGGGAGAGAGAGAGAGAGAGCGACTAATTGACGCTTCGTGAAATCAATCACAGTTCAATTGCAAACAAACCGAGCCATTTATTGTTTTCCTGGAACACTTGTGTTTCCAACCGATATAGGTATTCGAAGGGAGATAAAGGATCGAGCGCTTTGAAGTTCGTAAATCGCTCTCGGGTAAACAGACCCATTGCATTATCATGAATTGAATCACTAGCGCAAACGAACAACACCAGCGCGAATTTGCTGCCGTAATTATCCGCGTGCTTTTGTCCCTCTCTCGCTTCACACCCCCCCCCTTTTTTCTTTACAAGTACCACATTAAACCTGATTGGCCTCCGCGAGGACGGGAATATTTTCCAACCGCGGGAGATTAAAATTTTGAATCACGTCTGCCGACACTGCAGTGGCGGGAGAATTTTTACCCAAAGTGTGGAAACGAAAACTCAGTGCCCTACGACTTTTTCGTGAATGCGCAGATTCAAATCTTTGCACGTATTTTATCTCTTCTCGAACTTTTTGGATTGTCGGAAGAGGAGCTTACAGGAAACTATTTTGGAAAAAAAAAAAAAAAGAAAAAAAAGAAAAAAAAAAGAAAATATTCAAGTAAGTAGCTAAACTATACGCGTAACTTTTATGCGCAGGTAAAAGTTTCGAGTAGTATATGTACGGTCTATTGTAATAAGTGAGTGATATGTAGCTTGATACGCGTAAAAGGCCTTATGTCGCACGTAAATCTAGACTCGAGTTAACCGTTGTCGGGAAGTTGAAACTGTTATAACGTGAGGATAAGCGCTGCTTCAGTGTACCCTAAAAGTTTGAATCGCTTAATTTTACTTTTACGAGATTTATATGTATGTGCTATTACCGTTTGCTCCCTTGAGCCGAGTATGGACACTTGAATCGAAAAGATGACGTGCTCGTTACTCTCCGAATCGAAGGGAATCGCTTATTGTTACCCCGCACACATCGTCAAGTTTTAACCTGTGTTTTTAGCACAAAACACTGCTGGTTTTTAATCAATTTAATTTAAAAACCGTACGGGGTTAATCTTCCCGCGCACATCCTAAATTTTTGAGCCCAAAAAGTAAATTTTTTGCTTTTTGTTTTTTTTTTCTTTTTAATCTAGCATTTTGAAATGTTTTTTCGAAATGCTCGGAAAAAAGCACTATTCCAGATTTGTCAAAACAAAAAAAAAAATCAGTTTTCGCAGTATGAAAATGCACTTGCCCAACAATCAGATTTTTCTGAAAAGTTGCTGAAAACTAAGATTAAGGGCCCCCTGTACAGTTTCCAGTCCAAAAAAGTAGGAAAACAAAAATTTGGCAAACGATAGACGGACACCCACATCGCAGCACTTCGAAACAACGTCCATCCAACTTTCGACAAAATTACTTTGTTGAACAATAAAATAAAATAAAGTTCACGTTGATTCAACGCAACGCGATAAAACGGAGCCCTGACGATCAAAGGATCAAGAAGTTAAATAAAAGCAAGAGCAGAGTCAGCGGAATATCCTTCCAAACTGCAAGTAGGTACACATGCATAACGGGCGGCAAACTAAGACGACAGCCCAGAAAAGCTCGCTCTCGCAAGCTCAACGGGACCATTAAAATTCAGCAAGACAAACACGAGGGAAATTCCGGCGATAGGGTTACGGGGGCTTTTCCTCTCTCTGGCTCTCTACAAGCAGAGTACCATATACCTACCAACGCCTGGCTACTTACTACTAACGAGAGAAAAAGAGAGAGAGAAGCTGATCCCTCTTTGCTCCTCCACGTATGCGTATGTGTGTGTGTGTGTTCTTCGGCTCGTCTTAATTCTGTAGATACACTACGAGCTCGTGTGCAATCGGGCGCGATTCTTCGGTGCAGCTGGCGTTGTTCCTCGCGCGCATTTAGTCGTGCAGCCTCGGCGCTGTGACTCCCGGTAGCTGGAAACGTTGACTGCTCTCATTTTCTTCACCAACGCAAAGAAACGTCAAACGAAACGGCTGAACAAAAGTATTTTTTTCCTTTTTCCTTTGCAACAAGTTAGAGGAAACAGCACAAACGATGCAATTTCAAACCGAACTCATGGTTGCAAACTTGCAAGCTTTGATAAAAAAAAAAAAAAAAAAACAACAACAACAACAACAATCACCGTATGATTAACCACACTTTTTGCATCGACTATCACTCGGAGAGGTAACGTGGCAAGTTTGCGGCCCGAGCTTGCGAGGCCGACTGTGCGCGCTTGAGTTTTGGGGGTGGAAAATCGAGGAGCAAGTCCGCGTGCGATCTCGACGGCGCGCGCGCGCCGCCAGCCCCACTGGTTTTTTTTGCCTTGCCGGCTGCCTATTGGGAGCAACAGCTTTGGCCGATTCATAAGGATTTCGAGCGAGGAAAATCAATTGGGCCGCCGGCTACCGATACCCGCGACTTGTCGTTGTCTCTCTTTTTTTTTCGCGCGGCCTTGCTGTTCCCATCCTCTCAAGGGGCGAGATTTTAAGGCAAACTCGAGATGCACGATTGTACACGCGAAGGAGAGATTGCCGATTGGTCGCTGCAGCTTCGGGACTTTGCATTGTCATGCAAATAATTTGCACCACGATTTATTGCAGAGGACGATTGGACAGGCAGTGCAGGGTAATTTCTGCAGATCAAGGCAAAGTTTACCGCAGTACAATTGATGTTTCTCCAACTTGTTGTAACGCGGGAAAACAATGGAATTTCCAATGTTTTACTCAATTTTCGATTTTTCAAAAAGGCAATCAAAAAAAAAAAAAAAAAAAAACCCACAAAGCGCAGTAATTCGGCAGCCATACGCGGGCACCTATTGTCCTTTTCCCTCGCTCCTCCAATAACCGCCAATTAAAACGGAAGTAACAACAACGTCATCCACGAAATCGACGCGCACCGAAGCGTATAACCTGCACATGGAATCATCACGGGTATGCAAGGGTTTATATACGTTGTAAAAGGGAGTGAGGGGGTGGGGCTGAATATGAGATAATGACGTCGCGCCCGGAAAATCGAGGACAAACGCCATATACCGATCGGATTATCGGCAGTACGGTGTATATCGTTGTTTCGGTCGCGACGACATCTCTTCCCAAATGCTCGACCGCGAAATTCGCCTGCTCGGGAAGCTTAGCGTATACAGTACATACAACTATACGCAAGTATACGAGCGCGCCTCTGCGGTATTCGTTACGCGATGCATGTGTTGCTGTAATCTCGATCCGATAAGTACCTCATGGCCGATCAAGCCCCGACGGGATGAGTCGCACGTCGAGTGCATGCGAATCAGTAAATGCCATAGCTGGTGTATATTGTATCTGAAAAGGCCTGATTGCAACACCTGTTACGCGTCTCCGATGTACCTTGTAGGTATACATATACCTGTTACGAAGACGCTGTCATTGGGCCGTGCGATGATAAATATCCGATTGTACGTGCGCTTAGTCCTGCCGTGTGTTGATTAATAATTGGCAGGCAGTCATTGTTGTTGCTATGAGCAAACAGGATACATCTCGAGTCTGTCATGGATCACAGTGAGAAATTAATTCATTTTTTTTTTTTTTTTTTAACCATCGATTGATCGACGTTTGGAAAAAGGAGAAACAAAAAACAGGTATAGGTTTTCAAAAATCGGCGAACCAACGATTGTTTGATTGCGACAAAAAAAAACTAATGGATTGTAACGTATCCCCAACAATAACAATGGCCACCTGCGGCAATCGGTGTTTGCGGAACTTTTCATTTTTCCGCGGAAACAGAGAGCAACTTTGGAAATATGGGTGGTATTTGCGTTAGCCGAGAGCTCGAAAAAAACAAATGGACTCCTCTTTACTCTGGCAAAATTGAAAAAAATGCGGTTAATTTCACGATGGTGATGGAAGCAAGTTAAATTTCGTGTACCATAAAGTGGTTCTTTCGAAACAGTCGAATTTTTTGTGAAGAAAAAAAAATTACACTAGCCTTGAAAACGTTTACTGGGAAAATAATAACAAAAACCAACAAATGAACAGTCACGTATTATTTTATTCACGCGCACTTTGAAACGCAAATTTTTCGATTAACTTTAAATCAAGTGACGGAACGTTGTTCGCTCGCTTGCGAAAAAAATGCGGGGGGAGAAAAAAAATCTAAAACGTAAAAGTTGCGTTAAAAAGCGGAAAAATGTAATTCATCCTACTAGCACGCTTCTCGCTTATACAAACGGGCGAGCGCGAAAATGTTGACCCAACACGCGAATGACACTTGTACGGGGGGCCTTTACAAAGACACACACCGCGAGCATTTCCAACGCTCTGAGTCATTAATTAAAAGCCGGTCTGATAAAAGTAGGTGTCCAAATTAGAAGGCCTGCTCTTGCAAGAACACCCGCGACTTTTCCCTAATTAGATGCGCCTCTTCTGGACTCCCTCGTGAATCAGCAGAAAATAGAAAAACATGCAGCAAAGGAAACAACGTCACCGGACTGCACGAACCGCGAAGAGGAAAAAAAAAAAAAAAAAAATAGGACGAACCCACAGAGCGGCGACCGTGACGAAAAATTATATACACACGCGCGGACAGGCCCTTGCTTATTCTTTTTCTCCGTGCATAGACGTTTGACAAAACAAGCGCGTGAAATTCTCGACGGAAGCAGAGAAGAAACCGCAGCGAGTGCCGCTCTGGATGATATCTCGCTCGCTAACTGCAATTTTTGCGCTCAAAATCGATGAGGCGATCTTAGCAACATAACATATATACGTGCAACTACAAAAAAAAACCAAAATAAAACTGCCTCTAGAGAGATTTGAACTCTCGACCCCTGGTTTACAAGACCAGTGCTCTAACCCCTGAGCTATAGAGGCGGACATCTCGGCGTGGTTTCCGACCACTCTATAACGAGCCGGCTATCTCCGTCTCGCTCGCACTTCCACGTTTACATACTCGTTCCCCACCATATATCTCGTACTGCGAAGGAGGAGGTGGAGGAGGAAATATAGAGCAGGGGATCGTCTACTGCGACCACCGCGACTGCGCGAGGCAAAGTACACACAACAATGCACAAGCTGTCACGCTCGCGCGCGGGGGAGAAACTTGTAATTGTTTTTCATACTTCATGATAATAATCAAGCTCGGGTAAGCTTATTAAAGAACTTGGGACCGAGTTCGATAACATCCGCTTTCGCTGTATATACCACCTTACCAGCGCTATCTCCCTCCCTCGTCCTTTTTGGCCCTGTTTATGCAATTTATTAAGCTTCCGTAAACTTTGGCTATTACGTATATACGTACCCGCTCCTGTAAACCTCTCCTTCCTGCAGTGTGTTTTGGAGCCCTCCCGCTTCTTCTTCTTCTTCTTCTTCAATTTTGGTCAAGCAAAAACTAAATCAGTATACTCTCCGTGATTTTTGGACTCATGTGTGCAATATGAACGAGGATATGTGAATGGATACCTTTTTTATTATCATTTATGCATGAGATTTCGATTTATTCGACCTATAAAAATGAAAGACGATTCATCGTTGGCAATTACATGGCTTTGATCTTAATCGTAAGAAATAATCAAAGAAAAGCTTGGTACATAAATATACGTACATATATATATATCTCACGTGGGACCTGTGTTTTACTTCATTTTTCCTTTTTTCCTTCCACATACATGTACACTTATAGCTCCGATGCAAAAGAGAAAATGATGATGTATAAAAAAAAAAAAAAAAAAAAAAAGAGCGAGAGGTGGAATAACGGGTGACGATCGGTGCTGATGGGTGCCCCTTTTTCCGTTCAGAAATTGACATTGTCGAGCTCCCTGGAGAGCTTGAGGGTTATTTCCAAGCAGTCGCTGTCAGAATGCCATTTCGCCGACGAGCCATTAGGATCAACGGGAAACGGCGTTGGTAGTCTCAGCCGATATCTGCGCGTCGATCGTAAGGTGAATGATAAAAAAAAATGAGAGTACGTCCACACAGCAAAAAAAAGATGTGTATACGCAAATACAGGCAGAGCTGAGGTGCATGTATATTGTATTGGGTAAAAGTGACGTGCAGGCTGAGTGGTTTTACACTCAAGAGTGCAGATTCTCGGGGGGAAGTGAGCCGTGCGAAAATAGTGTCCCGTTTACAGAGTCGATTAGCGATTATTGCAAAAACCGATCGACAGGAAAGGACTTTTTTTTCCCCTCGCGCTCGGAAGACCGTGCCAGTGGGGTGGCTTTACAATGGAATCGGTTGGAAAATCGGATGGTCTGCGAATCGTAACAACAAGTTCGGAGTTGTTTTCTTGCGCGCAACAAAAAACCATTTCGCTTCGTAAAGGTTCATCAAACGGGGGAAAATTTGCAATTGTTTATCGACAATATTTCCATCACTATATATTCATGAACCGCTCCATTGCTATTTCGGGAGGAGTCCGCGCTCAATCCATATGCACGTATATAAAAGCTCTTGCATAATGCAAGTCCGAGGGATCGTTAAACAATTACGAATGAATTGACGTTTCGTAAACAATATCACGAGGGAAACCACGTGGTTGTTGGACGTTGCAGGTGTTGTGATTGATGATTGAACAACAGGCCTCCTCTTCTCTTGGCTCGTGAAACCGCCAATAAACCGCGTTCCACGGGGGCAAAATAAGCCGCGACCGCGGATACTCTCTTAAAAACAAATTTGAGGGCGGAGGTGAGTTTATCGCAACAAATACACTGGTAAAAATGAAGAAGAGGAGAATCGGTGTTTTAAAAAAGTGCGAGAAGGGCAAACTAATAAGATCGAGCTGGCGATAAAAAGTATGCAATTAGCGCGACTTTTGAAACGTGAAGTGAGGTGAGAAAAAATGCTCTACAAGTAGTAAAAAAAAAAAAAAAAAAAAAAAAACTTACTTGGGACTACGTATGTCGATGACATCGGACTCGACGGATAGCTCAATTTTCTCTCTCGTCTCGGAGGGCAGCTTCACACGCAGAGTCAGCCATTCGCAGGAGGCCGTGGACGGGGTCTTCAGGTTCATCTGTGCAATTCGTACAAGTTGGTTTCACGTGGCTACAGAGATGCATTTATACATATATACACGGAATCTACATTAGAGAGCTATAATCGACGACGATCCTCGAAAAAGAGGCGAGAAAACTCTCGTTGGTACCTAATAAGTATTAGCGCAAAGCAATTTCCTGCATCGGAAAATCGCGCCCGCGACTGCGGTATGGTTAGTTGCGACTCTATTTCTCGGCTTATCGGAGATTTCGCTTTAACGATGCCGCTTAATGAGTGCAGAGTTGGAAAATTCTAGGGAGTCAGCTGTACTGGGTACTATTGCTATCATCATTAGAAACCCACATACAATATGGCTTGCTTTTTAATTTTTTTTTTTTTTCCATTACCGGATCATTTTATTAACTTTTAACCATAAAGGTATATAGGTAATGCATAACCGAGGTATACCTATGCATCGCTTACCCCAAGAAAAATGTCTTCGGTGCCAACAGACTGTTTGAATTTCATCTCGTACTCTGGTACCTTGCGCGGATCCTCTATTATAGATAAATCCGGAGTCGCGTTCAACTCCGCCGAATGCCATATATCCGAGACCTCCGTCTTTTTTGCCCCGTCCTTGCAGGCACTGCTTGAAGAGGATTCCTTTGAGCTGGATTTGGAAGTCGCTGCAGCTGCATTTGGTTTGCCAATGCTACCCGGACCTGAGGAATTTCGGCGAACGAAATCGTACGAACTTTTTTTTTTTAATATTTTTTTCCCCCCTGAGGGAGGAAGTTCTTTTTACACTGGCTCCGAGATATAATATGTATTTGCATGGCAATGTATTAAATCAAAGGATGTACCGGGCGAAGGAAATAAAGAAGGTAGTAAAGAAATTTGGTATCTACTTGTAAACAAATTTTGAGGTTAATTTGTAAAGTTATTCGGATGATTTGTTGATTGTGGCAAATATCAACGATGAAATATAACAAGATAAACATAGAAACCAAAAGTTCTAGCGGATGAATATTTACCAATTTTTTTACGGGACAAGCGCTGCCTGAGATCATCGTCAGAATCGGAATCGGATTGATCCTTCTTAACAGCGAATAGTTGTTGAAGATCTTTTATCTGCTCATAAGTAAAGCCTTCCATTTTTTACTTTACTGTGACGAAGAAAAATATTTTACTTGGGTTCTTCGAGAAATTTCAAAATTCAACAGTCACGGAGTCATGGCAACACAAAAACTCTGCTACCGTGGTGAAGGTAAGGTAGGACTCTTGCTTATTTGTAGTTGTTATTGCCGATTGCCGGTAATCATTTTCTATCTCAAATTGTAGAGAAATTAATTGAACAGTTTTTTTGTTGTAAATGAGACAAGGCATTTCAATAATAAGCATTAAAAGCAACGATTAAAAATAATGGCAAACACAGCCTAATATTTTATTTTTCCGCAAGTCAAATTATATTACACGCTATTTTAATTACTTCCTCTTTTTCTTTTCATTCCTTTTGTGTTTTTTAACTTTTGGAGATCGTTCTCTTTTGCGATTCATTTTCTCCTTTTTCCTTATATTTTCTTTTTCTTCTCCAGATTTTGTATCTTTCTTCTTTTTAGTTTTTGTTTTGTTTTTCTTTTTTTTCTTTTTTTCATCTTCTGATGAATCTGCAATAAAAAAAATTGTTAAATCCAGGGAAAATCATAAGTGATTGAGATTAAAAAATGAACAATGTTTTACCTTCTGAGGAAGACGAGGAGGACGATTCAGATGATGATGAACTTGAACTTGATGAGCTTGAACTAGATGGTTTTTCTTTTTTAACTTCGCTTACCTCAATGACAGGTGGTAGTGGTGTAGGTTTTGGCCGAGATTTCAGATGCTCCCTCAAATCATCACTAAAATTACAAGAAAAGTTGCAAATTTTTATTTATTTATTCATCAGGCTTAAGCCATACTCTATACTTAAGTCACAAATAATATTATTTATCACCAGAGCAATAGGTATAACCAGTATATCAAAAATATATAAGTTTTGGGTGATGGTACTTTTTGTTTTGGTGAAAATATAGATAATGTCAGTCGAAAATAAAAACTGTATACTAACGTTAATCCTCCTAAGCCAATGGAGGTGAAAAAGTTAATTGCAAATCGAGTATTTTTCGGATCTCCTTTAGGAAATAAACCTGCCAAAGCTTCTTGCAGCTCTCTGTTAGACATAAAGGTATTATTGAATATAGATGAAAAAAAATATATTTATTTTTAAAATATTTAGTGAGCTTACTCATTCTTTAGTTTGTTATTTAATTTTGGAAGCCCCATGTATTCGGATAACTCTTGAAACAGTATTTTAATGAAAACTCTACTGGAACTGGTAGTGTCCTCTTCGTTTAATTTGATATTTTCTAATACACCCCAAGAAATTGAGTCAGTCATCAGAAGGTGTGCAAAAAATTTGGCAACGTTCCGCAATCTATTGGTATCTAATCTATGGATGGTATTGTAGGAGTCCATAAAGATTTTTTGGAACGGATCAACAAAAATTTTGTTAATTGCGCAAAACCGCTGAAAAATAAGTTATCGTTTTTAATATCATTACAAAGATAAAGCTTTGAATAAAACTACTTTCGTTTCACTTACCCCTGCTAATAGCCCAAAGAATTTTTCATATGTACGCATCTCTGCACAACAGTCCAAGAACATGTTGCAAAGTTCGATCTCTTGACCAGGCTTCAACTGCATTTTTAAAAGTTTGTGAGCACATTCTTCAAAATCAAGAGAAGAATGTATCGTCAAATATATAGTCCTTCTAAGGGCAGTCAAATTCGTCTCTGTATTGTCAATGATGAGGCCTGAGTCTTGAACTTTTTCTTCATCATTCTCGTCTGAATCTTCATCTTCATCTTCATCATCACTGCCTTCTTCACCGTCTGATTCGCTATCTGTATTCAAAATCTCTTTGCTCAACTCCTTATATTTACTTTCATTGTTTATATACTCAGGATCATACTTGAATACATCTAAAATTGGAGAAAATAATTTTTAGATACATATTAACACCCTAAATTACCTATTCACCTTGCATTCATTTACTTACTCAATATTTCGTTTCCTTCTGTTGCCTCATCAAGTGTTATTAAATGTGTCATCTGATCTTCTTCTTCAACAAGATCTAATTCTTTGGGAACAGATTCATGATCCTTGAAACCATCTTTGCGAATTTGGAACATAACTTCAATCATATATTGCACCTATAATCGCAAGGAAAAAGTTAATTGCTTGTCTTAATGGTACAAAATGTTAAATTATTGGTAAATTTTACTCACCCTCTTGTCCAGCTCTCCTTCATGAAGGATATTTCTCAACATTTCAAATATGGCCTCGATACCCTTGCGTGATACCTGTGTCAGTTTCATACCGCACTCTTTCAAAACCGCTATAGCTACTTCAATGGAGTCATCTGTCGGTGTCTGTACCAATAGTGTTAATATTTCAAGAACCAAAATTTCATGGGCTACACCTTGATTTACCAAGTGAGCAATGAATGTAGCTGATGATATACACAAAGTCTTGTCGGAACGTCGAACACCTCGTTTGAACTGTATTGCTAGACGTTTTAAAAGTAATTCTCCTATGTTTGGAAATTTAGAATTGATGACAGAAACCAACGCTGCATAAACTGGTGTGAAAGTAAGAGAAGCGGCTTGAGCCTGGATAATAGATCTAGCCAAGAGACCTCTACCTCTGACAACATTTTCTTTCAATAATTCTCTAGTAATGAGTCCTATGTTGCTGGTGTTGACCTTATTGATGAATCCATGAATAGATTTCTTCAGAGCCTCCCAGGCAATGCGTTGATAGGCAGCACCACTCTTGTCCGTGATTCCAGCTTGCATCAATCTCAACTTGGCAGGTGGGATATAAGCACCACCAGTCTTAGACGTTAATAAATCAACGGTTTTTCTTTGCTTGGCAGGAATTATTTCAGGATTATCATTTTCATTATTATCCTTGGACTTTTCTACATCTTTTCCGTTGTTTTTCTCCTTTAATGGCTTATCATTATTTTTTGAGTCAGAATCAGCTTTATTCTTCCTGACATCTGTACCATAATAAGAATTTCCGATTTCTCCATGTCTGTCTAAACTTTTTTGTCTACCTCTACCATCATCATCATCATTTCTGTTTCGATCTTTGTCTTTATAACTACTTCTAAATCTGTCTTCACTTCGATCTCTCCGTCTCTCTCGATGCGCATCATCACTTCTATCTCTGTAATCATCCCTATCTCTGTATCTATCACGATCGTCCCAGTACCGGCGCAAGCTCTCTGTGTAGTCTCTGTCTCTATCCCTGTTTCTGAAGTCTCCATCCCAATATCTTTCTCTACTCCTATTTCGTGCCCTGTCTCTGTCCCTACTTCTTGCTCTTTTTCTTTCTCTACTTCTTTCTCTACTTCTTTCTCTACTTCTTTCTCTACTTCTTTCTCTACTTTTTTCTCTACTTTTTTCTTTACTTTTTTCTCTACTTTTTTCTCTACTTTTTTCTCTACTTTTTTCTCTACTTTTTTCTTTACTTCTTTCCCTACTTCTTTCTTTGTTTCTGTCTCTGATCCGTTCTCTAGTTTTACTTTTATCCACATANTACTTTTTTCTTTACTTTTTTCTCTACTTTTTTCTCTACTTTTTTCTCTACTTTTTTCTCTACTTTTTTCTCTACTTCTTTCCCTACTTCTTTCTTTGTTTCTGTCTCTGATCCGTTCTCTAGTTTTACTTTTATCCACATAAGATCGACTACTACCTTGTTTATCGATTTCTTTGCCTTCTTTTCTGTCAATATGTTCCTCTTCTCGAGGCTTATTTAAATCAATAAAACCTTCACGCTTACTTTCTTTGTCAATAGGTTTTTTTTCAAGTTCTCTAATAACTTCTACTTTTTCAATAGGTTTTTTCTCAAGTTCTCTAATAACTTCTACTTTTTCAATAGGTTTTTTCTCAAGTTCTCTAGTAAGTTCTACATCTTTTTCGTTTTTTTTGTCTTTTTTAGATTTGTCCAACGTTTTTTCTTGTTTGCTCGTAGGTTTTTCTGGAGTTGTTTCTCTGGAATCATCCGATGATGAAGATACAGATGATGATGATGATGATTCATCAGATTCATTGTCAGATGAACTCGAATCTGAAGAACTGGACTCACTACTGCTGGTACTATTATCATCACTATCACTACTACTACTACTACTGTCATCGCTGCTACTTTTGTCTTTCTTATGCTTGTCTGTTTTTTCTTTACTCTTTGTATTTTTTACAAGTTTGCTTTGTTTTTTTACTTTTTTGGGGCTTTCACTTCTATCCTTAAGTTTACTTTTGGTTTTAGTTTTGTCTAAACTTCTTTCGACACTTTTGTTGCGTTTCTGATTTTTACTTTTGTCCAAGCTTTTACTTCGTTCTCTAACTTTATCTTTGGGTCCACTCTTTTCCGGGCTTTCACTTTCACTCTTTGCTCTCCTGCTTTTATTTTTACTTTTTTCTAAGCTTGCAACTCTACTATTCTTGTTTCTCTTCTGATCCTCAACTTTGTCCTCTCTATCACCTTGAACGGCATGTCTACTTCTGGTATTATCATTCCTCTCAGTGTTTCTATCTCTTTTAGAATCCCTATTCCTCTGTTTGCTTTCATCTCGATTCCTACTTTTACTCTCATCAAGGTCTCTGTCTCTGCTGTGATTTCTATCTCTGCTCCTTTCTCTGCTTCTCACCTTTTTACTCCTCGACCCTTTACTCGTATCTCCGCTCTTATTCCTGTCCTCTCTGGCTGACCTGTTGCGATCCCTACTTCGGCTACGACTTTGTCTTCTAGACTTCTCTTTGCGTCTAGCTGTCTCCTTTGATGAAATATCATCATCGTCATCACTCCTTTTTTTGTCAATGCCCCAGCTTCCTTCTCTAAAAAGGGTAAACAAACAAGCCATACAATAATATTGATGAGCAAAAAATAAACACAATATGCACTGAAGTGGTCTCTAAAAATTGCGTGCCCACGTAGAGGTCGGCTTTGTAGGTACTCAAAATGTTTACTTACCGCTCTTTACGACTGTCCAAGCGGTCCTCCTCCTTGCTGCGGTGGTGGACTTTGTCACGTTTCTTCTTACTTTTGACATCGCTTTCGTCTGATGAACTTCTTTGCCTGCGTCTTTTCTCTCGAGAACCCATCACGGAAGCAGTAAAGGATGGAGGTTATACTTATTTGTTTACGTGTGATTTCAGATGAAGCGGGCTCGAGAACGTTACGTTTTATGCTCGATCGTTCAACGTTGGCAAAGTTGATGGAAAATTGGCCAATCGGAGCGCTCGGGGCAAACTCTGGAGAGTCTGGAGTCTGGACTGTCTGGAGTCTCAAGTCTCTCAACGTCTCAAGTCTCATCAACTTTCAAACGCTATTATATTACACTGCACACACCAATAATCCGTTCATAAAAAGTTATATTATTAATTTACCGACAATATATTACGGTCTTGCGGTAATATTACAATATAATGTATATTACATTAAAATTTGCAAAGTAATGCGGTCGTCTATACAACTGTTGAACTGTCCATCTGTGAATCTGAGTATCTGTATGCACACATAGTACAGTAAAAATAGTGGCTAAATCGACAATTATTAATATCGGTAATAAATATTTTTTGTTAGCGGAGTTACACGCGCGTGTGTATAAGTATTATATACAGCTGCTGGAGCAGAAGACATCTAGGTTATCTCGCTCTTTCGTACCACGTGACTTTGGCACCCTAAGCGGCGTTACCACCACGACCTATACGTAACAACATTTTATTAAACCATATGAATATCTATGTTTTTGTAGGTCGATTTTTTGGTAAAAACTTGCCTCAAATAGCACAATTCACGTCAATTTTTTATAATCTATCTATAAAATTACTTTCGGCTGGTTTATAATTTATTAAATGGCTCTAATATAAGAAGTAATAATTATTTAAATCAGCGTCATCTAGCGTTGCGAATTTCTGAACTAAAAAGTGGCCCTAAACTTTTGAACCAGAGCTTTAGCACGTAGAGCCATTTAGTCAGTTATAAACCAGCCGCAACTCATGATAAAGCTATAAAGTGAAAAAACAACGGTACATGTGTTTTTGGCGGCAAGTAAACAATCTATTTTCTACCTAAAATCGACCTCCTATGTGTTTATACTTTTAAAGATAAATTTTCGAGCATAAGATAAATTGTAATCTTGCCGCCAAAAACACACGTATCGTTATTTTTTTGTTTTATAGCTTCGTCATGAGTTGCGGCTGGTTTATTATTGACTAAATTGCTCTAAGTCTGAATGCTCTGATTTAGAATTTTAGGAGCCACTATTGGCCAAAAAATAAAGACCGCTAGATGGCGCTGACCCAAAATAATTATTGCTACTTACAGTAAAGTCACTTTATTAGTTATAAACCAGCCGCAACGAATCTTATAGATAAATAATAAAAATTTAACATTTTTGTGCTACTTGCGGTAAGTTTACAATTTATCTTTTACCTTAAAATCGACCTCCAAAAGCATCAATATTCTACTTATCTTATATGGCTCATAAAATCGACAATATTTACAAAATTACAATACTCTTGACCTTTTACCATTAACTTATGTAATCACAAATTAATCAGTCCAAAAGAGGCAACCGAAGAAAAAAGGCCTGAAAAAGAAGCACAGTCACACGAAAAGTCTCATATGAGAATGGAGCATTGGATCTCACTTGATCAGAGGAGGTTGGGTTCTTTGTTTACTTATAACACTTAAAATTTACATATCTGTAATAAATGTATTTTTCAATTAGTGAGATCCGATGCTCCATTCCTAGGAGACTCTTCGTGTGACTGCTTCTTTTTAAGACCTTTTTTCTTCAGTTGTCTCTTTTCGACTGATTAATTTACGTGTATAGTTGATCGTGATTTACGATTTCTGTAACACAAATTTTGTTATGTACATATTCTATAAGTTAACTGTTTATTGGAAATCTAAAGTTGAAGGACTGTTCTTTCATTAGTTTATGGTAAAAGTGTTAAAATTTTGTAAATATTGTCGATTTTATGAGCCATACAAGATAAGTAGAATATTGATGGTTTTGGAGGTCGATTTTATGGTAAAAGATAAATTGTAAACTTGCCGCAAGTAGCAAAAAAATGTTAAATTTTTATTATTTATCTATAAGATTCGTTGCGGCTGGTTTATAACTTATAAAGTGACTTTACTGTAAGTAGCAATAGCAATAATTATTTTGGGTCAGCGCCATCTAGCGGTCTTTATTTTTTGGCCAAAAGTGGCTCCTAAAATTCTAAATCAGAGCATTCAGGATTAGAGCTATTTAGTCAATTATAAACCAGCCGCAACTCATGACGAAGCTATAAAACAAAAAAATAACGATACGTGTGTTTTTGGCGGCAAGATTACAATTTATCTTATGCTCGAAAATTTATCTTCAAAAGTATAAACACATAGGAGGTCAATTTTTTGGTAGAAAATAGATTGTTTACTTGCCGCCAAAAACACATGTATCGTTGTTTTTTCATTTTATAGCTTCATCATGAGTTGCGGCTGGTTTATAACTGACTAAATGGCTCTACGCGCTAAAGCTCTGGTTCAAAAGTTTAGGGCCACTTTTTAGTTCAGAAATTCGTAACGCTAGATGACGCTGATCCAAATAATTATTACTTCTTATTTTAGAGCCATTTAATAAATTATAAACCAGCCGCAACTAATCTTAAAGATAGATAATAAAAAATTTTCGTGGTCTGTGCTGTTTGCGGCAAGTTTACAATCTATTTTTCACCCAAAAGTCGACCTCCAAAAATATTGATATTCAAATGGTTTAATAAAATCTACCATATGGCATTACTTAGTAGTAATTACTTTAATTACTACACATAACTTCACGTACATCTTACACCGTGCTCTCTTTACCAGAATGATAAAATCAGAGGCTGTAAAGTTACGTAGGTCGTGGTGGTAACGCCGCTGTCACAGTTTTAAATATGCATGGGAAATTTCGGATCACATGCTCATCGGAAAGTTCACTTTTCAAATCTTTGAATTACTTAAATGACGATGCTGTTTGTACTTACTCAACTTTACGGGGATAATTAATAAAATATTGACGTTGTTTTTTTCTCAACTCCATTCAGTACGAGCGCTTTATTCATTACGTAAACCAATGGTTTTTCAATCATTTTATTAACTATAAACGTACATACATGGTTTACGAACAAAATAAAAAAACGTTTATACTGTTGTTTTAACAACGTTTTATATATATATTATAAAGGAAAGTTTTTTTAAAAGTAAAAAAAGCCCCTTATAAAGGTAACGTCAAGTTTATCAATTTTATGTGAAAAACAAAAAATTACCCCCGAATCACTAGTCTATATTTTTTTACAGCAGATTAAAGCGCGTGATTAAAAATTCCGTGTGTTTAGCAAAACTATACTGCAGCGATATCAATGAATTGTCTGCCATTTGTTTGTCAAATCCACTCGTGAATTTTAAAAAATTTCTTTATCATTTACGAAGTTAATTCTGCTCAGTTCAAAATTTGAATTCCTGCATTTCACTTCACTTACACACACGACTTAACTATTCGTTCGAAAAACACGACACTACAGTCGATCTTTAAATGGGATGTTTTTCTTTCTATGGCAAATTATGTTTTTTTTTTTTTTTTTTTCAATTCCATTAATTTAAAAATAAAGAAAATTGTTCGAGACACCTTTTACTTTGTCCTATACAAATAAATCCGCGTATACCTGTACGGATAAAATATGCAGATCGACACATTGTACATTGATGTATTAAAAATTATTGAGCAATAAAAAAAAACACATCGACTCGTATCCTTTCCTGTTTACCGATTCGACGCTTATACTAAGAACCCAGCCTCCAAAGAAAACTTTTGTTTTATTCTTTCATTTCAACACACAAACGAAATTCGAAAGAAACACACACGTGATGCTATCTGGCATTTCTCTCTCTTGACATCAGGTGACGTCAATAAAAAAAAAAAAAAAAATTGCCCAAAACTTATTCATAAATTGAATGCACGTTGTACGAAGGTGTATACGTCAAGATGTATCCTTTGACAAGGCCTTGACGATTACCATAATTATCATAGCAATCTTTTTGAGAAATTCAGTGTAACGTAAATAGTAATAGTTTACATCAAAGGGACAATATCACGTTATTGTTAACTATTTCCATATAAGCTCATTTAATTAAATCACAGATCTGATGTTTATGTACAATATCAAAGTGTATTATTCGCCATAAATTTATAATATTTAAAAAGTACATCAATTACATCAATTGTTATTGTTATTCAATTTCCATCTGCATATTTGAATCGTAAAAAAATCTGAATCGAATCCCATAAAGTCCTGATTGCGCCCTCGTTTATTTATCATCAATCAACCTCGATCTTATCTCTGTTTTTTCATATCGATGATTTATTTTCAATTGCTTTATTTGTCTTCATTATCAGCTTTACACGATTGCATCTGCGTTTGATTATGCTTACATGGAGAGCATTGATCATCGCGTAATGTTACTAATCCACATTTATTTATTTATTTGTCAATTGAAGCGATTACATTGGAAATGTTTTTTTTTTTTTTTTTTTTTATACCTTAGTCATCAAAATGATAAAAATTAATTTCACCCGTAATGAATGACCTTTGCATTTCAATAAATAAAAAAAAAAAAAACTTTCATAATATGCCAACTAGAGTATAATAATTCAAGTAAAAGCTGAACAATTTTTGACCAAATTTACGGTGCAACATTCATTGGCAAATTCACACGCGCTTGTATAGTGTACTGGTCCTATATATGTATAGTGAACACACGAACGCTCGGGTTGCGGAAATCACAAACGGTAATGTAAATAATCATGAAAATTTTCCTTTTTTCTGGTCTCTGCCGCTTGCACAAGAAAAGAAAAAAAAAAAATTAGTTAATTTCGCCGTGTTTCGCAAATAGATTTTTTTTTTTGTTACTAATTGGAAAAACCGTGTACATCAATGATTTCCTCCCTCAGAGACAATTTATGAATTATGTATTGACGAAGTGTTTATGAAAAATGGAAAAAAATTGGATCACTTTATGACACTGGAACCAATATTTATAACGAAAAAAATGTTGAAATCAATTAAATCAATTAAACGATACATTCAAAACCATCGCTCCGTATGGACATCGAAGTAACGTGCTTCCCGCATTTATTCGAAATCATAAATATTTAACGACGAAAAATAAAATAGCTCAACCACTTGATAACTTAAATTTATCCGAAAAAAAGTTGTTTTTTTTCTTTTTCTTTTTTGTACATTTTGCTGCCGTACAGTGATTCGTGCATACAGCTTGGCATCTAAATCTGTTACCGATCATAATTAATATACGTATCCGCTCTCGTCGGGCAAAACAACGAACCCTCCCAACCGATCGCATGTAATACAACAACTGGCGTGTTGTTGAAAATTTTGCGCGACGCGCCAAAAGTGGGCGCAATACCTCATATACTTGTGATGACATCAATAGAAAAAATAATGATAATTATGAAGGAAAATCGGTATAGGGTAGGTGGTGGAAGAAGTGCGCAATATATAGTAAACTTACTACTCGTACACACACGTGTGCAACGTATTATGTGATTCGCGCACCTGAGGTATATCGCGGTAATTAGGTATATAGCCGCGCAGCTCTGTCTGGCGTGTTCGCCGCCGTCCAATCGTTGAGCCACGTTGTGTGTGGTGCGACCGGCCCGGTAGGGGTACACTCAGGGCCGTCGCTGTCTACGCGTTGAACCCCAGCAACATTTTTTTTTTCTTCTTTTTTTTCATTTTTCCGGTTTTCCTATGGTCATCTTAAACTTATCTGGTCAGTACACCGCGGGCATACACGTTGATCTTTCTGCAAGCGTATAGGTATACGTCGGAGAGTCTCTCTGCACCCCTGCACGCGTATGTCACGTAATGTGTGGGCACGTGCGTGGGTAAGCGAAAGAAAGAATTAATTGCGTGATGAGCACACATATTTTTAGTTGGAACAGGAGAAGGGTATCTTCATAAAAACTTCTAGATCTGTCGAAATCGCGTTTCAAGTACATGATACCCAAAACACTTGATTTGATTTATCTTTCGCATAACGAAAGACTGCAGATGGAAAATTTTTTTTTCAACATTTGTCGTACCGTGGGAATTTCACCGTTTCACCCATGACTTGTTTAAAGTCCCGATACCACATGCAGCCGTTAATAGTATAATGCACGTATGTTCAGGTATATATATATATAGCCGCGTGCTTTCATCTTTGTATTGTATTAAACATATTATATTGTACACGCCATATAACGGGATTTCCGCGGTGAAAGCTTTTATTTCGTGGCACAATTTTGGAAAAAAAAAAAAATAATAATAATAATATGTACAATAACAAGCCATTTCTTAGACGTGTATGTACCTAGTACCAATATATAGGTATGTGTATAATAATGATAATATTATGATGTAGTCTCGGGTAATAGGAGATGGATGCGAGTGGGTGCGGGGCACGACGAAAGCCCGAGATTCGAGTTGCTCTGGCGAGAGAAGTTTTGTAGATCACAAGAAAAAGGATGCCAAGTTGGTGGCTGAACTTGTACTGCATTTCCACTTTTTTTTTTTTTTTTTTTCGTTTCGTCATAGATATACAGGGGAGTTGAGTCAAACGGGCGTTTGGATAAAAGGAATGTCGTCGATTGGGATACAGAGATTTTATATGGGTACGTATGTGTGGATGTATACAGGAACAGCTATTCTAATGCTTTTTTGTGGGATACCGGTTTTTATGCGTGTACATGTGTAGACGTATACTCCACATCGTCGATCGATTCGATGGTAAATATGATTACGAGTATATTCAAAAATAGCTTCGTGTGGAAAAACTTGCGCCACCCTCGAAACTCAGTTCAGGCTACGTGTGTACATGTATTTATGTATTAGTTAAAAAAAAAATCTGAATCACAAGAAATTTGCATACTATACTACGTAGCGCCCGAAATTTCAGCGATCACGTGAACACTTGGCCAATATCACGCGTACCCACTTGAAAATCCACGCGCATCAAACGCGGAGATATTGAATCTTATTAAAAAAAAAAAAAAAAACTTCGTACACGTGTACGGTCATAGCGGTATATTTTAAAGCAAATCGATCCCTCGATCGAGCCACAATCAATCGTTTATACTCGTTGTGTAGCATGAATTGCGCAGAGGTCGGTTTTTCCCCGATAGTTTCCGCGAGCCGATCTTGTAATAATTAATTTTATAAGTGCATGTACATATAAGTACGTGTATAATATATATTTATACACCCGAGTACCTATTTTTGAAAAATAGTTTCTAATAAATGTACTGTCCTTACCTGTTTTTTTTTTTTTCTCTGTATTGTATTGTAACGGTTAAAGAAGTTGCTTATGCTCTTCATTTGAGAAAAAGAATTATCTTTTAAAATTTTTCCAAATCCATGCAAAAATCGAGCCCAAGTCTGGAAATCTTGTAGGTATAAGTGCCGATCGATCCTCCTCTATTGTGTGCCTATAGATGCATAAGGCTATATACTCGCGAAAAAGAAAGAAGCGTCACGGCAAAAACTCCCACCTGCGCTACTCTAGTGACGTTATACAGCTTTCGACGCTAGTTTGCTTGTGAATACATTTTTTTTTCTCCCAACAAAAGGAGTCTACCGCCCTCCCTGCAAAAAACTTTCAAACTCGTCAAAATAGATTTTTTTCACACTCAAGTGCTCTAGGGTTGTTTATGATCGACGGCTTCGATTTTGAATTGTTTTTCGTGGTGAAGATCGCGGCTGTTGTCGGTCGATCGATGCATAATACACACCTCGCGCGAGCGTCATTCGGCGATGCCTTTTTCGCCCATTTGACTAAATTTCTTGGGAGATCGTGACCTTGCTCGGTTTTTACTTATCGCGAACTTTGTTTTTTGAAAAATCTCGATGTTTCCCAATGTTTACGCTTTCATTTGCAGATTTTGCGAGTGTTTATCTCTGAAAAATTCATAACATTTGTTCACGTTTCGAGTCGCTCATTTCTCTTACCGATCTCCGCTACAATCGCGTATTTATACTCACGTTTTTGTTATATCAACGGAAAAATCGATGGCCTAAGCGCGTGTCGCTGTTATCTCCCGAGATATTATATACTAAATGAATTTTCAACACTTGCAATAAATCCATATGCGTTACATGTCTCATTAGGTGTAACTGAAATGTAAAATCAAAAGAGAATGAGAAGGAGAAAAAAAAAAAGTTGCATTCTCATGGAATTTCTCAAATGAAAATACTGTCACGAGCACGACGCGTGGGCCATTTTTTTGTCCACTATATTTTTTTTTTTTTCAAGAGGTCCGAAAGAGATTATGGCGCAAGTTTATAGTGAGTTAAAAACGTGGTGAGCACGTGTCGCACGATAAGTATGTGGGATCATTATTATCATCACTTAAATATGGTTTTTTCTTTTTTTACCTATATCAAACTCTTTAATTGTGTGTATTAAAAATGGATTATTCGTATACGCGCGGACGAAAGGAAAAATGTATCGGAAAAATTCTACGGGCGAAATGCAGAGCAGATATTCGTTGTTATTGTCACGACGTGCCCTCGGATGTGTGAAAATTTTATCAAAGGGGTCAGCTCGCAAGGTGAGGAAAAGTTTTTGTTCTCACGCGCATTGTAAGGCATTTTGATTAAACGTGCGTTCTTTTTTTTTTTTTTTTTCTTTCTTCGAATATGGACGTGTTTTTTGCTGCAAGTTTTTGGGTCGACGATCTCGAAGCTTAAATTTTGTTTATAGTTTTTATCCTTTCGGGCATATAATTTTATGGGCACGTAAATTGAAAAGAAAAATAAAAAAAATTACTGGTAGTAAAAAAAATGGCCAGCAATATTTGGTAGCAAAGTGTTTTCCGGAATCATGAAAAAATCGGATCTACACGATGCAATAAAAAAAAAATTTTTTGTAAATCATCTCAGCAGATTATTAACAGTAAAAACATAATTATCAATTAACTTTTAACAGATGAGTGACGTGCTCAAGTAATTATAGTACTATAGATAAGGAAATTTTTTGCAGATAGCCAATTGGAAATTGATTCTTCAATCGTGATGTCTTTATTTTTACATGGTATATGCATAATTTTTTCCCTCGTTATCTCTTGTTTGTTTTTCGCGTGAAAACAAATTTATTTATTTTTTTTTAAAACGCGTTCATCTTGACGCAATTGATTTGACGTGCACAATAATAATAGCAATTCCAAAGAGATGAAAACATTGTTTAAGATTTCACTAATGTAACTAATTTTAAAATTAAAAAGACTTTTAACAATGAAAATACATTTATTGCTTTTCAGAGGAAAAAATTAATAAAAAATAACTGTTTTTGCAATGAGGTTCAGAAAAACTGCCCTGTAGAGGTGTATCAGGTCGATCAACCTCAGCAGCGTAGAGTAAAAAACACTACCGGCTACTTCGGTACTTCCCCTACCCCGCGCAAGAACATTTTTTTCCTCCCCTCTAAAACACGCGAGCGAGAGCTCACCAAAGATAGAACGAGAAGGAGAGAAGAGAGCCGCCTCGGAAAGTATAGCTATATATATCAACTCCTCGGATCCTCAAAGAGAACGCGCGCTCCGTATTTCCCAGTTCAGTTAGCAGCTGACGCTCGACCAACTCGGTAGTTTCGGCAACAGCAGTTCGGTGTTTAGTAGTTCTTTCAACGAGTGGCTGCTGCTTAACTGGCTCGGTTTTGTTTTTTTTTTTTTCCTTTTTTTTGTTTTTTGTTTTGTATTGTTTTTTAAACATTTTCAACAAAAAATTACAACAAACAGAACGAGTCTGTCTACCTTTTTTTCACTTTACGAAATAAGTATACCGTCAGAGTCTGGTGCACGATTGTTATTGCTTCGGGCCTTTTTATTTCTGGCTCCCTCCGATACTTGGGAACTTGGATAAATTAAGAAACAGTCTTTTGCTGCAATACTACCTAGTTTTCGGTGTGAATTTGTGCTACAATAGTATACTTACCTCTTATCTGCTGAACGCACGGCTCGAAAGAAGCAGCAGCACTTTTGTTTTTGCTTGGAAGGGCCGACGTCAGTCATCATGAATTACGGCGAGATGGGTAGTGCCAACAATAACGCGACCGAGACCACGAGCAGGTAATATACATATATAATTATAATGTTTGCATTGATCATTTATACCCTTACCTATTCAAAGCAAAAGAAAATTATTCAAGTGCTTACGTACGCGTGTGTATAGACGGAAGTGCTGTGCATCATACCACATTTTATATATAGATACTGCAGGCGTAGGCGTTGTCGGCACGCGGTTCTGCTCCCATCCAACACTTTCGTGACTGCTTCCTTTTCCCGAGTACTTACTTGTTAGTTTTTGTTGCTTAAAATTAAACGACAGTATCCTAAGTAGTTACATCGAAAAACAAAGAATGTTGCGGCCCTTGACCTGGATACGTTGTTGTGATTCTTAGGGATACCCTATATTTAAACTAAGAATATTCTGTCGGTCGATTCACAACGCGGATATAAATAATGTGTTCGCGACAAGAATATACATAGGCTCGTCGAGCTGTCACGACAAAAAGTATAAACAATCCGGCTGCTGTTGGTCCTTTAATCGCATTCGTATTTATACGGTGGCATGTGGCATATTACACTTTGGTAAAACGTACTTTTCATCATTTTCCTCCATTTCCTTTTGTACTGTAGTCCTAATATTGAATGGACCAGCATTTTCTTATTTCCTCTGCTCGAGTGATGGTGTTTTACGGGAGCAGAAAATTGTTTACGGAGTGAATCGAATCATCTCGTGTTTTTCTTGTTTTTCCCTTGTACTGTAACTCGAAAATGTTAGGTTATAGAGCTGAAAGAGAGCTTGGTGAAAAGGGTGATGGTGCATTGTTGAATTTTCCGAGTTTTCTCTCTGCGCGTACAAAGTGAAAAAAGAGAAATAGAGGTATATACATACACACAAAACACGATATGTCCACGATGAATGGCGACACGAGTGCGCAGGCGCCAAACGTGGCCTGATGTTCCGAACACGAACGACTGGCTTTCGGGCTTTGCTCATATAAATATACAGTAATACAGTTGACGCCAGCGTCATGTTGTGAATTAAGGGAAAACTGCGCTTTAATCATCTGTACCAATCAGATTTGATCTACTATATATAACTCATATTGATAGGTCGTACCTGAAGAATTTTTTGTTGTAATCTCACGCGAAATGAACGTAATCCAGCTGACGTGTCACCATCAGCTATCTATACTGATAGATAACTCTCGCGTGCCTAGAAGAATGATTGTTGCGCTATTATTAAGCTCCGGCGCTTTTCCGGGATTTTTCCTCTTTCGATTCAACGAATCTTCCGAGTTGGATCAGTGTTGGAGAAATAGTTTATATTTTGTCTTCTCGGCAGTGAAATTGTTCGTCTTGTAATATTTTTATTGAGAAATTAATACATTCATCAAAATATTCATGCTTATCTTTGGATATTATTTTTTTCATCTCAAGTAATATTTCGTTTATTTTTCGTTACCTCGATGTAGTTATTTTGAAAATGAAATAAATTACTGTATTAATATTTAAACTCGTTCTTATCAATTGATGACTTTCGATGTTTAATCAAATAATGCAAGGAAATTATAATAATAATGATGATGATAAAAGTCCACCATAATTACTGAGCTTTCGAATCATATTCGTTGAGTTTAAAAATTCTAAACTCTTTTCCAAAAAAATTAAATTCGTTACAACTTGAATCCTTGGAATTTATATAAATTATTGTTAACCAGATAACTTTCCTATTTTTATTGGAAACTCCCAGCTAGTCCATAAAAAAAACTACGAAATTACAAAATAAGCCATTTATTTCTGAATGTATTGAATTTATAGAGATAATGTCCAAAACTAAATTAGCTGTAAAAAATGACGGACGGCAACGAAACAACAAAAATAACACAAAGCTCCAATTAAGTTGATCAACTCGATGTTTTTAGACGGAGAAAATTTGTCGGGCGCCTTGATAAGCAGGTGTCGACCTCATTCTCTTGATAAAAATGACGCGGTCGTAGATTTTTCAAGTGCCACGAATATAGATCAAAAACAGTTTCATGAGTCAAGTGCGTTCTAAATTTTAAAATCCCGTCATAAAGGAAACGCTGCTGATAATGGTAATGAAAAATGCTCTATTCCTTTCAATGCGCCTGATAAATCGCCGTAGATATCGCGTAACGATAACAAAAGTGTCGGAACAAATTTTCAGTCTTATCAGGTTTAAAGAATTTAAAAAAAATCTCCGATTGAAATTTTAATTCTAGTCACTTTCCGACGCGTGTAGGTGCTTAATTTCATTTTGACGCGGTAATCTCTGCTCTCGCCAATTATCCGAGATTCATCGACAGTAAATTCACTGAAAGATAAAAAAAAAACTCTTGACTTTATTTTTCAACGCGCGACCTAAAACTGTCATTCGAATATCCCTTCCCCCCCTCGAGGAATGAAAAAACGAAATGCCGATTTGCTTGGATCATTAACGTGGCATTGTAAAATTAACTTCCAAGAAAAGCACGTCGGTGCCCCTAAACTCAACGAGAGTTTGAGAGAAAAAAAAAAAAATTAAAAAATCCGGCGTGCATCCGTAAGTACACTTTCCATGGCGAGAGAACTCGTATTCCGAGACCCGACGATACATACACATGTATATGTATGTATAGCTCTCTTGACCAATCCGTAGGAATGTCGCACGCTCGTGAGCATTGATTTTTTTTTAATTTTTTTTTCTTTACGATGTTCAACAACGTTGGCCGTTGTACGATGATATACAAAACGGTTGCAATTAAGATTATTATTTTCATGACATTTGAGTTGAACATTGGTAAATATTTTCTTATCAGTCAATTATGAAGCGTTTGATAAGAAAACATTTTTCAATTTTCAATTTACTTTCGTTGAACCGTAAATACATACACTCGATAAGACTGTTTTAAACGTATCAACTCTTCATCGGCTTCGTAATACTTAAAAGTAGTATACCTAATAACTATACGGCCAGTAGGTACACCAACAAAAAATCCCAGTTGAAATAGAAAAAAAAAAAAAAAAAAAATCTTTGTATCATTCGCGATTAATGTACTCTAATACAAAACTGTATATACACCATCGTGTACAGATTACAAAGAAAAAAAAAAAAAAAAATGAAAAAACCCTCATTCGCGAGGATGAGAAATCATGTATCAGGTGTCCGTATAATAGACACGGGGAAGCCCGCGTGTGTGCCACTTGGAAATCTAAACGCGCTCATCATCGGCTCGGAGCACAATGTATATAGGTACACTCGACCATACGAGCAAGTATACATGTATAGGTATATACTATAAGAGCAAAGAGCTCTCAGCTTTAGAAGAATAAAAAGTAGCAAAGCTCTTCGGTCACTGACGCCGTTTCTGCTGTTGCTGCTAATGCCAATAAAATATACAACATTAGACACCGACAACTATGAGGCCATGCTGGCTCGGGTTGGCTGATTACATGCGAGAACCGAAATAATCGCTTGAAATCAATACATGTGTATACATATACATATACATATACATTAACATGTCACAAAGACACAGCACAGTCGCTGCCGAACCGGCCATCACGCGCTTGGCCTAATTTAACGCGTGCGAGGAGCTGCGAACGAACGGCCTCAGTCTTCGTTTCTTCTCGACAAAGTATATCTTGTTGTGTGTATGTAGAATAAAAGAGCGCAATGGTCCATTAGAAGAGATGTTTGAAAAGAAAAAACCCCGACGCTTGGGGACCACGAAACAAGTTAGACGACGATGTCAACCAGTCAACGCCGTAATACTCTAATATTACCAAAGCGCATTAGAGCACTGGTTGTGCTGCACATATACATATACCTACAGGTATGTGTATAGTTTTTCTGCGCGCCGATGGCCTGGAAAGTATTAGGCACTGCTTTACCTTCACCTGTCTCGCGTCTGTGTCCTCTTTTTGGCCCCAATAGCGAGAGTGAACACTTGTACGGTTGTTCGCCGGGGAAGACAATTAAATCAACGTATGGCTTTGTATTGCAAGTGTAGCGCGCGGTTGGATCGAAAAAAAAAAAAAAAAAAAAAAAATCGAGGGGCTACCGAATGCAGCTATAGGTATAGAGGTGTACGTACAATTTGTGTAGGTGTGAGGTGTGGATGTTTGCGATTTCACGAGAGAGAGACTTGAGAAACGAGAGTTGCGTGCGTGTGCATGAACCGTTCATGCTGACGAAATCACGAAGAAAAAAAAAAAACATTCGTGGCAAATTATAATCATGAGGGAGGGAGGCGATGACGGTGACTTCCGAAGGGCTGAATTTTCGATTATTGTTTGACTACAATCATATAATCTTTTTCTTTGTTGGTAGACGAGAGATGTGTAACTTTTACCAATTTATCATAAAAATGTGTACCTTTTTTATTTATCACCAAACATTAGGCTTGTTAAATCAGTTATATTATTATTATTTTGTTTTTCTTAGTAAATATTGATAACTAATATTGGTACAAATATCACAGTCACATTTTGCTATACACTGAATAACAATTATTGTTTAATGATTTTTCTGAAACTTTTTATCAAAGGCTGACAATTGTCAGGATAAACTCTGAAATATAAATAAAATAACATCCATCATTATGCAATTATATGATTATACTATTTATCGATAAACCGTGCAATCTTGCAATACGTTTCGATAATTTATTTAATAAACACACAATTTCTTCCAAAATATTAAGCAGGTTGAGATAGTGATATAAAATCACGGCAACTAATATTATTTTTTACGGTGCATAATTCGAGACACATATTTTTCAACATTCAATATATCCAAAATGTTTATGCGTTAACTTATAAACAACAGTTGTATTTTTTATCTTTTTTTTTATAATACTTTTGATTACTGATATTGCGGTGCATCATTTTATAGATGAGTCTAACCACGTACATTTAAAACAACCATCTGATACTAAATTTCCTGCTAGAAAATTAACAAACAACATAAGCCGTAAAAAAACAAAAACACCATGGCCATCATCGCATTTTTAATGGACGACGATAAACGTAGACTCAGAAAGAAAAAAGAGCCTTGA